AGAGAGAGAGAGAGAGAGAGAAAGCGAAACAGGGTAAGTACTCGGTAGACAGACAGGCAGACAGACAGACAAACAGCAATAAATACAGACAGTGCGACCATGTCTGACAAGGAAGAACATCTCACAACTGCTCTCTGATGTTCAGATTCCACAAGGCCTTACTTAGACCAGAGAGACCCACAAAAGCTCGCTAGGCATGCAGCATGCAAGCGCGGCCGGATACCTAGAGCCGCGTGCACCGGGAGATGTATGCACCCAGCTGTGGGGAATGTCTACCCCTGGTCCTCGGTACGTTGGGTAATGAATAGAAAGGATAGCTGCTGCCACTACTGCAGTTGCTGCTGTTGTTATACGGCACTTTGCAACACAATTAGGTAATGTAAGTTTTTTTGGGTCATGTAAGTGCCAAAGATTATGTTTGTTTGGGTAAAGATTTGAGGTCTTATAAGGCTTGTTTGGTTGAGTAAACCGAAACACATCGACACAAAATTTTGACATTCAAATTTAGCACTGGGAAAAAAAAGACAAAGGAAAAACGGATAAGTAGGACCTACCCCAAGATTAGAGGTGTCACTACTAGAGAGTAACAAACACATACAAACAAACAAAGAAAGGAGAGATAAGGACAATGGATGTTTAATACTGTAGGAAAGAAGGATAAACCACACCAGTGCACCGGGAGATGTATGTACCCAGCTGCTGTGGGAAATGTCTACCCGTGGTCCTCGGCACTTTGGGTAATAGACGGTAGCTGCAGTTGCGGCTGCGGCTGCTGCTGCTGCTATTGATGTTGTTGTTTTGGTTTTATTAAGAGTTTCACGGCTCTTGCAACGCAATTAGGCCATAATACAAGTACCAAAGATCATGTTTGTTTGGGTTTGTTTGAGTAAAGATTTGAGGAGTTATTATGTTTGTTTGGTTGAGCAAAGAGAAGCACATCGACACGACAACAGTTATTTAGTGCTGGAAAAAAAGTATGACAGACAAACAGAAATAACAGCGGGAAAATACACAAATAGGACGTACACTGGCGCCCTCCAACCACCCTCCCCGAAGATTAGAGGTGTTACAGGAGAGTAAAGAAAAACAAAGAAGCACACACACACACACACACAAGAGAGAGAGAGACAGAGAGACAGACAGAGAGAGAGAAAGAATGAAAACCCACCTGCACATTCCGGAACCTATCATCCAGCTCCCTCCGACCCTTCTCGGCAGACGCCAGCCGCATCTTGAGACTCGACACCTCCGCCATCAAGTCCAGCTTGTGGTGCTCTAGACTCGACCGCGTCAGCAACTCCTGGAAAACACACACAAAAACATAAACCCAATAAGTAAATACAGTTGAAATTGTCAATAGTTCATTTTTCAAAAAAAGTTTAAGAGTTTTACGGCACTTATAACACAACAAGATCATAATACAATTGCCGAAGATTAGACAGTCATCCATTGTCCATGAGAAAAGTGTTCAATAGGCGGACGTCTTGAATAGTGTCATTATAATATTATGTATATAAAAAAACAGATGATCCCTGAGACGTACCCCATTGACACTACAAGAGAAGCTCTACGGGCTGACAGATGAACTGAGCAGGAAGGCCAAATGTATGACAGATACCCGACTTCAAGAGGGATATGATGTGATCGAGAAGAAGAAGAACACAAGTGATTAAGTGGAAATTGGTTTTTTGGACAGGTGATTGTCTTGGACATAATGGCTAGAGTAAGTTTGAAATATTGAAAAAGCTGTGTCATAACTATTGATCTTCTCTTTGTTTGAGTAAAGAGAAGCCTACTGACATGCAAACAGTTACCTGGCGCAGGGAAAAAGCAAGACAGACTGACAGACAAACTTCTTTTCAAATTAAAAAAAAAAGTTCTTCGCGTTTTACAACTATAGACAGGAAGAAAAGAAATACGGTAGAAACTGCTCTAACGGCCAACTGTATAAGACAATCACCTGTACAGACAGCCACTTCCCATTTCTTCCCTTGTGTATTTTTTAAAACATTATAAGGACACTGTGTAAGACCATCACTTGTCTAAAACGACCATTTACTCATTGACAAAGGAAAGCCGTCTTAGACAGTTTCGACTGTTGTTGACTTCTAGATTAGCAGATTGCTGAAAAAAAGTTGACCATTATTCACAGCTTCCACTCCTGGAAAAACGAGAACTGATCACTACTTTTGACTTCTAAGATGAAAAGAAATAGTCGACAATTAATTCATTCATTCGAACTTCTGGACAGTCAAAAGAAAATATAAAACTGGCCACTGCTATTGACTCCTGAGAAGAAAGAAATAAGTTGTCAGTTCATCATACAGCTTCCCAAATTCAACTGGACAAGAAAAACACAAATATACCACACACCCCCCACCTCCCCCCCCCCAAAAAAAAAGCTGGGGGGGGGGGGGGGATTTGCCATCAAGTACATTCCACACGAAAGTAACCTCTTGACCTGATGACCTGACCTGTTGAACAAGTGAATGAAAGGTGTTTTTATTACTTTGGGCCAGAGGTGAAAATATTATTTCAAAGTCCCGTTCCCTGCTTCACCCTTTGACCTGTAAGAAAAATAAAGCAGCACAGCTAGAAGTTGGTCAATGGGTCAGGTAGCTTTAGTTCATGATATACTTTTAATATGAGTTTTACGGCACTTGCAACACAAACAGGTCATACAAGAGCCAACAATTGGAAGAGCTACTCAGTTAGAGAGTAGCATACAAAGAAAAGGGGGAAGGAGGAGATATTTCTATAAAGACCATAGATGTTTGAAGGGAAAGAAGAAGCACGTACCACACCAGAGCACCTGCCAACCACCCACATAGTTGTGGCAATCGGCGGCAGTGAGCTCTGGAATGAGTTACACATCTTCTCAAACGAACAAATAAAAAAAGAAAACAATGGCAAAATTCACAAAAACACCAACCCCAACCAACAACATAACATAAAAACACAAACCCACAAAAACAAGATGATAAACCCACATAAAAACCAAACAAAAACAACAACAAAATAGAAAGAATACAAAACTAAAGAAGAACCCATCTATGAAAACAAACCAAACCAAGTTAATAAAAATGAAGAAAAACAAAATCCCCAAAAACAATTTACAATCCCAGAACGTCGCGCACTCACCAAGTAGCCAGCATGGGCATGAAGCTACGTGCTCAATCAAGATGTAAAGAACATATGTGAAGAATGTGCAGTGCATATTATGTACATGCACTCTGTGTACTTTGCTTTTTTCCCTCCCCTACAAACACGTACAATACACAAAGCGTGACTCGGTTGTACGTGCAAGAACCGAAGGTGCGAGGCGAGCGGGTCACCCGCGCGGAATGGTGATGAAATCTGACAACTAATGCAGGAAGAGATATTAAAGTATATCATTACTGTGTTGTCTGTTTTTTTTGTTCTCTCTCTCTCTCTCTCTCTCTCTCTCTCTCTCTCTCTCTCTCTCTCTTCCTCCCCCTCCCCCCTTCTCTCTCACTCTCTCTCCCTCCCACCCTTTTCTCTCGTTGTTCTCCACTCACTTACTTTTTCATCCCCCCTTCTCTCTTCCCCCCTCCG